GGGATAAATAGTGTGGGTTTCATATGGGTGGGATAAATAGTGTGGGTTTCATATGGGTTGGATGAATAGTGTGGGTTTTAGGAGGGTGGGATCAATAGTGGGGTTTTAGATGAGTGGAATGAATAGTGTGAGTTTTTATATGGGTGGGATAAATAGTGTGGGTTTTTATATGGGTGGAATAAATAGTGTGGGTTTCATATGGGTTGGATGAATAGTGTGGGTTTTAGGAGGGTGGGAGCAATATTGTGGGTTTTATAAAGATGGAATGAATAGTGTGGGTTTTATATGGGTGGGATAAATAGTGTGGGTTTTTATATGGGTGAGATAAATAGTGTGGGTTTCATATGGGTTGGATGAATAGTGTGGGTTTTAAGAGGGTGGGATCAATAGTGTGGGTTTCATATGGATGGAATGAATAGTGTGGGTTTTATATGGGTGGGATAAATAGTGTGGGTTTCATATGGGTTGGATGAAAGCGTGGGTTTTAGGAGGGTGGGATCAATAGTGTGGGTTTTATATGGATGGAATGAATAGTATGGGTTTTATATGGGTTGGATAAATAGTGTGGGTTTTTATATGGGTAGGATAAATAGTGTGGGTTTTATATGGGCGGGATGAATAGTGTGGGTTTTTTTCTGGGTTGGATGAATAGTATGGGTTTTATATGGGTTGGATAAATAGTGTGGGTTTTATATGGGTTGGATGAATAGTATGGGTTTTTATATGGGTTGGATATATAGTATGGGTTTTATATGGGTGGGATAAATAGTGTGGGTTTTATATGGGTTGGATAAATGGTGTGGGTTTTATATGGGTTGGATAAATAGTGTGGGTTTATATGGGTTGGATAAATAGTGTGGGTTTTATATGGGTTGGATAAATAGTGTGGGTTTTATATGGGTTGGATGAATAGTGTGGGTTTTTTATGGATGGGATGAATAGTGTGGGTATTTGGATGGGTGGGAAGAATAGTGTTGGTATTTAGATGGGTGGGATGGATAGTGTGGATATTTATATGGGTGGGATGAAAAGTATGGGTTTTTATATGGGTTGAATGGATAGTGTGGGTATTTGGGTGGGTGGTATAAATAGTGTGGGTTTTATATGGGTTGGATAAATAGTTTGGGTTTTATATGAGTTGGATAAATAGTGTGGGTATTTAGATGGGTGGGATAAATAGTGTGGGTATTTGGATGGGTGGGATAAATAGTGTGGGTTTTATATGGGTTGGATAAATAGTGTGGGTATTTAGATGGGTGGGATGGATAGTGTGGATATTTAGATGGGTGGGATGAATAGTGTGGGTATTTGGATGGGTGGGATGGATAGTGTGGGTTTTTAGATGGGTGGGATGGATAGTGTGGGTTTTCATGTGTGGGATAAATCATAGTTTTGAGGGAGGTGAGAATATGTATGTGCATTTTGAGAGTGGTGGGTTGAATAGGGGTTATTTGAGAGGGCTGGGGTGATTAGTGGGGCTTTTAAAGAAGGAAAGGTATAACCAAAATAAATGCAATTACTGCCTAATGCTAACATTTATTGAGAAATTGTATCATATACGTGTGTTTGCTTTAATTCAATACTGATATCCAAATGTTCATTTAGTACTGCATATACATTTATATGTACTAGAGGTTGACTACGTTAGTCTGTGCCAGAGATTGCAATTAACCTTGTACCCTGCTTCCCGAACCCCAAATATTAGACTGACTAATATTGCAAGTTCCAGTTCATTTTTTCATCAGGACTTGCTCCACGAAAATGCTAACACAATCCCTGGTGCAATTATGTTGCTTATTATGCTTTATTCTGGACCTGCTTCAAGTCATTAACAAACATTTTCTTGAATTCACTAGGTTTTATGACAGCAGCTGAAAAAGGTAATGGTGTGATTGTCAAGAGCATTACCCGTGGTGGCATTGTTGATATAGATGGACGTATTAAAGTTGGCGATTATATAACGGCCGTCAATAGCGAATCGATGCGAGATTTAACAAATTCTCAAGCAAGATCTCTGCTTAGAAGATGTTCCCTTATTGGTACTGATATTCGGTAAGTCATTCCTTTTTTCATGATTGTGGTATATTTTTGTTGGCGTGATTCGGCAATACTTCAGAAATGGGTCAACACACAGGTGTTGATGTTCTTATCATATACATCATTATCCGGCTTCACAACACTGCTGAGCAACGCAATGAACGTCCTTGTAATGCTATTGGAAGTGCCCCCTCACATCAGGGCAATGATTATCCCTGGTCCAGTGTGCCCTGCTTTCATCAATCAAAACAAAACGTGTCATTCTAAATTTTGTCGTGTGTTTGAGGTCACGGCATGGTAAAATTGTAATTACACCTACATGTATAAGGTACATGTATATGATGAAACCTTTATGGACCATATCCAGTCCATAAAGAATAATATCACGCTCAGCTTTGTTGACCATATCTGGACAACATTTCTTTTTATGGATTTTGAGTAGCGTTCACTCAAAACTGATTTCAGCCAGTTACCGATACATTGTGTTGCTAGTGTTAATATTCATAGTTATTAGAATGCTTGTATGTCTTTTTGACGTTGTGAATTTTGGAATGAAATGGTAAAAATAGGATTAAACAATTAAGATAAATGAAAGACAATTAGCTCAAATTAATTGCATTTTTTCATGAACCCTTTCATGAAAACTTTATGGTCTGGGTACAGCTTTTGCAGCCCTTGGTCACATGGCTTAAAGCATCTTTGCAAGATTGTTCGTTTCTACAAGCTTTGCTTTCCCAGGATAAAAATAGAATTTTATTCCACGATATTGTTTGTTTGTTTTATATCCTTGAACAATAGTGGTGTCTTGATATTAGATGATGTCTCATTCGATACAAATATACAGTCAAAATAAGTTTTTAGTAAGTTTTAATATTAGATTTTTTTTTTTCTACTGTAAAAAGAGCACTACAAAAAAATTAAATATCATAGTTTGTAACTTGTCGCTACAATGTTTTCATCTTCTGCATTTTCTGGAGAACTTTAAAGTATTCATAATTCCAGATTTACCAAGACTCATGCAAAAGGAGACAGACAAATGACTTCACTGTCTCAAAGCCAACCTTAAAGTGACATTTATAATGAAAGTAGTGATCAGCTCATGTCAGTGTACATAGCACAATGAGATTACTGAATAAAACCCTGTCATGATGCGTGAATGTGTTACTCCAACCCAATAATTAAAAGTACATGTCGAACTACAGATATAACAAGGTCAAAGATACCACACAATATACACTGAAACTCACGCCAATGTACATTGTATGCCTAGCTTGTATCTTCTTAAATGACACAGCTTGATTGCAGAGAGGAAGCTTTTCTGTGTAGTTTTGTAGACAGCGCCCTCTATGATTGATGATGAGCTGTCTTGATTAAATTGTCTTTAGTCTGTGAAACAAACATTGTTAAACATCTAACTCTCTTAAATCCGTATTTCATGACAAACACGTTATAAAAGGACTATTCATAATTATGACAGGTTTATTAGTAATACTAAATATGAATATGCTTTTACATTGAGCACATACAGCATTTTTGCTTGTATATTTTTTTTATCTATTTCATGAACTTATTGAAGATTAATATTGCTAGAAGTTAATGAGATATTTAATGGGTTAATACATAAAAGATGCAGCAGAGCAGAGCAGAGCAGAGCAGATAACAGCTCGTAAAATGACACACAGTAACTGTAGATATCATCACTGCATCTCGTACATTCATTTGGTAGATAGTATTTATACCGAGATAACTTTGTATAAATCAAGCCTAGCCATCACAACATTGATATCAATAGTTTCTACACTAATTACAGATGTCAGTAATGGGTCAGATCAATACAATGCATCTATTCAATGCTCTCATCACATTTATAGTTGAACGATAATTGAAGTCTCGTTTGTCAGCAGCTCTCTTTTTTAATTTAGAATTTTCTCGCAACTCCCATTAGGTATTGTGTACTCCTAATAAAGATCATTAGATGGCATTGTGTATTGATACTACTGTATACTTTAATGTGATGTGGCTCACTAACCTTTTCACCACTATTTTCCTGCACTTGTTCTGACCTTTCACAAGATATCTTCTCATATTTGATAGAAATGTATTTTGTCACTTTTCACCTTGACTTTAAATTTAGCCATGAATTTAAAATAGCCACTGTTGGCAGAAGAATTTTTACACAATATAAATATTGCATGGAATGCAGATTATACTTCATAGGCACATCACTTGCAGCTATGTATTTTATTCTCTAGTAAAAAGAAAAATGGAAATCTCAGTAATCCCTAAATTATTGGAAAGCCACTGTCTGTCCACATGTATAAATTTTTCTTTTAATGAAATCCCCCCCCCCAAAAAAAAACAGCCTGTATTTTGTTCAAAGTAGATGGTAGTTAGATTTGACCGACTACTGGCTGTATTCTGCTGATCTGATGTGTTCGATCTTATCTTCATAATGATTATGTTAGTGGAAAAGAAAGGAATGTAAATAGACAAACAAACACATAAACAAATACACAAATAAATAAATAAATACACAAATAAATAAATAAATAAATAAATAAATAAATAAATAAATAAATAAACAAATATATAAATAAACAAATATATAAATAAATAAATAAATTTCTGAGTGAAAACAAATTATTTTACAGTAGTTGTTGTTTGACACTAGTTGAGAATATTAGTCATTGTTGCTTCCTATGAAAGTTACTTGCATGAGTAATAATGTGTACTGTAATTTCACTTTATTCATAAATAAGTAAAATCCACTAAAATTAAATCCATGTGAACATGTAAAATAACAATAGTCTAAGAACTTATTGTTTTCCTCCCAAGTTTGTGAACTTAAAACCCAGTGAGTACAGCTTAAAACATCAACATTAAATGTCAGTGAAAATAAATGTACAGTATCATACAGCTGTATTTTCGCAAGCAAAATTTAGTTTCAAGGGTGCATGTTAACATTTCTTGTAAAAAAAAATAGAAAAAAAGAATGTTAGTACACCGAATCTACAGAACCTGACTCGGTTTCAAATGATGTAAAATACTATAATGTAGGTGGAATTGATTTTCACAGACAAGAAATCTTTGCTGTTGTGTATGAAGTTTATTTTCACTGATTTATTTTTATAAGGAAATATAGAAAACAAAAATGACCTAAAGGATTGTATTTTCACGGATCTATTCAAAAAGGGCGGGAAATTAAAAAAAAATTGTCAATTAATGGTTCTTTTCACTCCTGAGTGGTATAAATCCAAATCTATGTTGTAATATATTGGAGGTCAATGGCATGCTATAGTGATGTATACCCAGGTAAGATCCAGTAGTTTTAACATAATAATTGTAAATTAATACATGTTGAAAATAGAAGGTATTACTTTCACTATATTCAATTAAATATGTTTTGTAATTGATTAGGTTGCCATGGTGATATATAAGGCTGACCTATTATATGAAAATGAATCAAGGGAATTGAATAAGCAGAAATAGAATTTGTAAAACGTGTGCTTAATCAATTTGAAATGAGCACCATTAGAGAAGTGTGTTTTGTTCATGTTTGCATCAACTGCCCATTATTACTGTGAATTCACACTGCAAGATGAACACAATGATGTTAGGGCATATAACTATTCATCTCTGATATTTCACTTGTTTACACATATCTCGCACTCCCAGAGGGCAAAAAAAAATAAAAAACAGCTTACTGATAACTTATTATAAAAAATGTATTTTAATTTTTGACTGCTAGTATTAAGACCTATTCACCACGAGTTCTCTCTTTTCTTGAAAAATTTGTGAAATATTCTTGTTTATAGTCTGCCCTTTCGTTCAGAAGATTTGTACAGAAATAAAAAATGAAAAAATGAGTAAAAAATGAAAATTGACTCAAATTTTGTATGTTGGCTCCAAAATTAGGGTTCATTTCCAGAAATATTGAAGAAAAAAGTGCAGAAAAATTTGGGCTTGAAAGTCTGGTGGTGATAAGGTTGAAGTCATGTGTGTACTAATTTGCAGAGCAATCAGTGCCCCGCGAAACAAGGCAAGTGTATTTGCACACACGTTTACGTGTACACTACAATCAGAGGTCATGGGGGTCGTATTTATAAAGATTAGCTTGGCTTAAAAGCCTGTTAAAGTTTATAGAGGATTATAAGGTGAATTATCTAGTTGTATATGACTGCACATGTTTTTCTGCGCAAAGTATAATTTTCTGAAATTTGATACAATAGATTATGCTAGAGAATGCTTGTATGTAGTTATAACAAAATCTGCTTAATTAACAATGAACGTTAGTTTCAAAGATTTATTTAAAAAAAAAAAAAAAATATTCAGTACTCAAAGTTTACTATTGAAAATCATACTTCTAATTTCACAGTTTGGACAGTGGATTCCCCACTTGAACATTTTACATAGCACTTTAAAACTGTCAGGTTGAGGTTAATATGTGTTGATGTTTTGAGAGATCATTGGATGTGACTATGGAGGTGCAACTTTTGTCAAAAACTAGTACAGATGTTTTATATTTATTTCCAAATTTTAAGTGCAAAAATTGAAAGTTTACAGATGAAGGACAGGATACTGTAAAATATGTTAAATTAACTGCATGCTATTTTAGCATATTTTATTCAATGCATGAATTTAGATTAAGTGCCAACAATCACATTGTAAAAAATTACTTTTGAAATAGTCAAATTACAGATTAGCTAAAATAACATGCTAGCTAACAAGCCATGTTTGACAGTACAGAAATTAGAGAAATCTCAATTTGCAGTTTCACTATTCATGGTGTATATAAGGCCTGCTAACAAAAAAGAGACTCAGGAAAATCCATTGCGATCAGTAAATTTATAAAGGATCGGTGAACACAAAAATTACTGCTTTGAAATTACTGCTTACAATTTAGAGTTCTTGGTAAAAACTTCTCATTGAGTTTTTATTTAATTTAAACTTGAGTTCATGTTACCCATGTCATGTTATATTAAATGTGGCAGTTCTAACAGAGTAAATTAAAATCAGGAC